GCAGCCTTCCCCATAAATCTCGTTAATTTGGGCTATAATAGGCAAACCACAAAAATTCCATGAATTTCTGCTATCTTCGTCATTAATCCCATTAAATTAAGCCCCCTATAAACCACAACACACAAAATTAATATTATAATACTCTATTCGGAAGGATGGAATCCTGCTCTGTGCTCACCCGATTGATCCTTAGCATTCAATATGTTGCACACAAACATTCCTAACGAGTCTCTGTTTCCATAGGAATTTGGATGCTAAGATTCAGATTCGTTCTCACTTCCATTTTACCCTTCATAGATCAGAGGATGATCTAAAACAAGATTTACTGAAAGGGAAGCATGCCTTTCGGTAATAAAAAATGAAAACAAATAATCGGATCCTCATAAAACCCGTTTTAACGATCGGGCAAAAAAGACGACGAGCGCGACGAACCCGTGTTTCGGACGGTTCGCACTAACAGTGAATCATAGGTTGTATAAAATCAGTAGCAGTAATCAATTAATCAATAATAATAGAATTAACAGTCATTAATAAACGTTATTATCAGAAAAATACAAAAGTCAACTGTAGGTCTGTAGTTAACAGTAATTATTTTTAAATTACAATTAAATAATTACAGTATTTCCAAATTAACAGTAATTTAATAATTACAATATTTTTCTTAATTAAAGTATTTTCCATAATTTTTAATAATCTACATAATTACCAAAAATACAGTATTTATTACAGTATTTAATTAAATTAACAATATATTCAATAAAACGGTATTTTGTTAATTACAGTATTTATTTAAAAACAATGTATTTATATTACTTTTTAAAAAATGTATTTACAAAAACCAAGAAAATTAACAGTAATTATTTTTTAAAATTACATTTAATGACGTTTAAATAATTACAGTATTTTAATAATGTCGTATTTACTAATTACAAGTATTAATAATTACAGTATTTATTAAAAATAATGTATTTATTAATTAACAGTAATTTAACAATTACAATGTTTAAAAATTATAGTATTTGTCATAATTTTTAATAATTAAAGTATTTAATTGAATTTACAGTATTTTCAATAAATTAAATAACAGTATTTTCAAAAAAATAGCCAAAAACAAAGTAACAAAAATAAACTGTAATTAATATTAATTATTAAAAAATTAACAGTAACTATTTTTTGTAATTAACATTATTTTTTATAATGTTTAATAATTAACATTAGTGTGGAAAATACAGTTTTTATTAATTAATAGTATTGAATACAGTATTTAATTATAATTATAAGTAATTATCAGAAAATTAATAGTAATTATTTTGTATAATTAACGGTAATAATTTATATAATTAACAAAAATCAACACACAGTAATTTTATAATTAACAGTACTTATTAAAAATTACAGTATTTATTAATTAACAGTATTTTCGATAAATGCAGTACTTAGTTAATTAATAGTATTTATTAATTAATATTAAATACAGTATTTAGTTATAATTAATGAACAGTATTTATTACTTAACAGTATTTAATTATAATTAACAGTAGTTATCAGAAAAGCAACAGTAATTATTTAACAGTAGTTATCAGAAAATTACATTTATTTACATTTAAATAATTACAGTATTTCAAATAATTAATATTATTTATTAATTAACAGTAATTACATTTATATAATTATCAGAAAATTAACAGTAATTATTTATATAATTAAAAAAATAAACATATGGTTATTTTAAAATTATTAAAAAATTACCTTTAATTACACTTAAATAATTACTGTATTTTTAGTAATTAGCAGTATTTATTAATTAGAAGTATTAGTAATTACAATAGTTATTAAATAATTATTTTATAATTAAGAAAAATCAACATATGGTTATTTTATAATTAACAGTAATTATTTTTAAAAAATTACATTTAATTACATTATATGTTATTTTATAATTAACAGGAATTATTTTTAAAAAATTACATTTAATTATATTTATATAATTAYARTATTTTTAATAATTRGGTATGGCAATTCATACTTTGATATAGTGACAAGTGAATGCAACATTTAAACTAGGGATAGCAATTTTTACCATACTCAGTGGGTACCCATCCCTACCCTCCTGAATGACAACAATGAGACAGGTTTTTTTGCTTGAAGAATGGGTTTTGAGGTTTTACAACCCATACGGGTACAGGTTAGTTTAATTAATAGTATTTTTCATAATCACAATAGTTTTAATAATTAACAGTATTAATTAATTAATATTATTAATTACATTAATAATTAATAAAAAGTAACAATTGTTTATAACTTAAGCAACTATTAGATCTATAAATTTGCAAGTTCAAGCAACTATTCTCTTTTGAGTTAGGTCTAGTTGAGATATGCACCATGCCCACACATTATCAGGGATAATTAGATTCGAAATCTAATTGAGTATCAAACTTTTGAAGTCCAATGATGGCTTTAGCGGATAGGACCCAAGCCAAATAACCCTAATAAGCTCAACTTGGAAGTTATATGCATATATGGTAAATATTATTATATAATATTTAAATAACAAATTTTATATTAATATATATAGAAATATTATATTTTTTATACTAGACAAGAATTAAATAAAAAATTTAATTTGTAAAAAATCATAATTTTATAATTAACACGGGCCTCTTAATCAACAGAAAATATGCAAGCCCAAGCCCAGCCCTTATATAAAGCATGAAGCTTGAGTTTGAGCCCGAGCCCGAAGCCTAATCTGTACACAAAATGTCTTATTTTCAATATACTTTTATAAACTAATATTATATTAATTTAGTAATAATTTAATAAATTAATAAAGTAATTTATATTTCCTAATAGTAAATTGATATTTATTAATAATTTAAGAAACATATATATAGATATTTATATTTATTATATATAACATAAGTACTTTTTTATATATGTAATAGTATTAGGTTGGGCATATTTAAGAAACCTCGAGCTTGAGCCCACGAGGCTGAAATCTTGTCCAAGCTTGGAAAATAACAAGTTAGGTTAGGCCGAGCCATTGGGTTACCAGGCACATGAATGGGCTTAATTGTATATATAAACAACTATATACATCAAAAATCATATGAAATAAAAATTTAAACATCTTTTTCTATTTTTTTTAAATGGACCTCTCATAGCTTGGTCTGATCTGTGGCCTGGCTTGGCCCAAGGCTCAGCACATGGACCAACCCAGCCCACGGTATGGCACGGGTCCGTGTGGACTCGGGCCGTTGGCCGTGCTAAACTGATCCCCCAAATTATCCTAGGGGGGGAGGCATGACCCATGACACCCCATGGGCTAGCACGACATAGCCCACACTTTGTGTTGGCCACATGCGAGTTGTGCCATGTCGGCACAGCACGACCCGATTTACACCTTTACTTGAACCCGCCCAATACTGGGGACGGGGCGAGGAAATTTGAGGATCCCCATCCTTGATGAGGAGTGGAGTGCCTTGCCTTTAAACTTGCTCGACATTGGGGAGTGGTTGCCTTGCCTTGAACCTGCCTGACACACGGGGACAAGGCGAGGATGAAGTAGAGTGTCTTGACTATGGGGCAGGGATAAGGATGGGGTACCCCGCCCTGAACCCACTCCGTAGTCATTCCTATATAATTGTTAATTATTAGTGAAATTAATAAAAAATGTTAACTTTTGTAATTATTTTTATTTATTTAAAGTTAATTGAAATTTCATTTAAAAATAATAAAAATAATAACAATTATTAAAATTACTACAAATCATTAATAAAACTAAATTTAATAAAAATATTTATTCATATTAAATTAATAATAATTATTTTCTATAAATCAACATTAAATAAAAAATACAATTATTAAAATTATAAACATTAACAATAACTTTGAATACTTTTAGTCAATTAACATCAAATTTTGATTATTAATTTAATATTAATTAATAGTAAATAAAATTATTAAATCTTTTAGATTTTCATGCATCGCACAGAACAAAAGAGAACAGTGACACCTGGGTGATTTTGGATCTTTTAGAGAAGCTGATTTTGGATCTACTTGACATAGACATAGACAAAGACTGCATCGTGGATGAATGAATAGTGACACCTGGGTGGAGTCTAGTCAAATTAAAAGAGAACAACGATTGATCTAGAAATGCAATATACCAACTGTTTTGCCTTGACAACGGTTTACAAGGAACAAAGAATTTGGAATTGAGAAAGCGAGATACGTGAGAAGTTTTCAATAAATCTGCAAGATAGGACCACCGACGCTTATATACCTAGTGGGTAGTGGCGTAGTGCCATCTTGGATTTAGACAGTGACATGAAAGTAGGTCTGTCTAGCGGTCCTTGTTGGTCAAATATTCTAACCAAATTAGGTCTGGTATTTCTATGGATCAGCTTATAATAATAGTAATATGCCTTTTACAAATAATAATAATAATAATAATAATAATAATAATGTATGTTTGTTGTGGAAGTTGCATGGAAACATTGGATGTTACTCTATTAGCTTGATGCATTCATCCGTTGTTGCACAAATCTCAATCATCATTTACTTTGCTTTTAAGTCTGTAAGTAGTAGGCCCAATTTAAACTTGAATCTGCCTTCAAAATGAATCTGTGTTTGTTCCAACACCATCACATGGATATGTGGTTATTTGTCAAGTGCATGCTTGTGGTTGTAGCCAGCCACTTGGTCCATGCCTCTGTACCATGGGTCTGTTGATGAATAACTTTTGAGAGAGAGAGAGATCTTCAACCGGTCCACTGGTTGCAAGGCAAAAGCCATGTGACCCTTTAAGATATGCAGGTTCATCAACAGACCCAATTGGCAGTCAAGCAGTTACTTCACAAAACACAAATGAAAGGATCGACAACACAGTCAGTCCCACCACATGCCCAATAATGTTTCCTCAAGTGGCTGGCCTCGGCTACATATTATCTCTATATATAACTACCCACATGCCGAATGAAAGTTCATCGGTTCTTTCTGGTTTAGCCCTTCACTTAGGTGCTTTCAGAACTGAAGCAAACTTTGAGATTCATATTAGTCATTCATTCTTTTCTACAAGTAACCTCAGAAGCCATGGGTATCCGATTGCCTGGAATTGTTCATGCAAAAGCAATTCTTCGACGTTCTCTTATTTCACCTTCTGCACCAACCGCTAATGTTCCCAAGGGCCACTTTGCAGTCTATGTGGGTGAGGCTCAAAAAAAGAGGTTCATTGTTCCAATATCCTACTTGAGCCACCCTTCCTTCCAAGATTTGTTAGGCCAGGCAGAGGAAGAGTTTGGATTCCACCATCCAATGGGTGGTCTTACAATTCCTTGCAAAGAAGATCAATTTCTCGACCTTACTTCTCGTTTGAGTGGCTAGTGATCATGAGAGGAGAGGAATGCAGGAGCCTCAAATGAAGTGAAGAGGTCAATCAAGAGAATTAACAGATCTGCACCTTGGTTGACATTCTCTGCTGCAACATCGCCAGATTGCAAGTTTAAACCACACTGGTGACTGGTTAGTGGTTACAAACAAGTGGGGAGGCAATATATTTCAAAGCTGCTGAATGGAGAAAGAACTGGTATTCAAGCTTTAATTTTCTCTGGTTTGCAGAGAATGGGAAGATGATGCTCAAAGCTACAGGGAAAGCACATTGACATTGTAATCAATCTCTTCAACTTTGTAAAGGATCTGCTAGCCACTCCAATGTATAATTTTATTTTTGTACATGACTAGGGAGTAAATCTCCCCAATACAAAATCATTCAATATAACTCATTTTCATCTTTTGTTGATCAAACCATCTTGTTTCATGCATGGTATCCTCTCTACTTTGAAGCCAAAAATTAGTGGCGGAATTAATATAAGATAGAGGAGCATTGTACGATATATTTTGTGTACCCAAGATGACCTTTCTCTCAAATTAGGAATTAACACCTGGTTGATCTTTCTCGCGAATTTCTAATGAGTTCGACTAATTACATCGAAATTCAGGACTGGATAGTGCTTGATTGGGTTAGATATCCTTTCCCTTGGTTTCTCCAAAAATTCCTTCACCAGTTTTTTCTATTTTCCAAATTTATTGCTTTTCTCAGTGTTTCTTTGGTAAAAAGGGAGAATTTGAGCTACATTTATCTGGGATAGCTTGCCCCTAATAATCCTGAAAAGTTATTCTTATTTATAAATTCCAAAAATATTGTTGTTTCATGATTGGAGTAGTAATTCATGCTTTCTCCCCCATATACCAAAATATAAAAAAATTAAGTTCTCTCCCTCAATCCAGAAGGATGCAACCTTCTTCCCAAGCACTTCACTTATGATTTATGAACGCATAAGCCTCAGCTTGCAAAAAAAAAAAAAAAATGTTGGGTATGTGTCCATCACTAAAGTGCCCGAATTCCCATTTCCCAGCTATAATGCATTTGATAATTAGGACACTAAGCCTCAAGCCCCCAACTATCAGCTAATGTATCACACACTGGCTAATTTAATGGATACCATATAGGCGAATTATTCCTCAAACAAGGAATCTTTCACTCATCACCATTTTTAAATGCAGCAAAATTGTCCAAATGGAGAAAGATATGATACCTGAAACTCTATATCTCTGAAACTCTAATTTCTATGAAGCTAAGAAAAATGTAAAGAGGAATTTATGATGGGATGACAAAACCAAAAGAAATCGGTAATTGTTATATGAATTCAAGCTGAATTTGAATAAATCACATCAGTTGTAATCTGGGACCATGAAATGGTGAAACAAACCCCTGCCTTTGTGCTGACAAGAGTTTGCTTTTATTTGATAGTACCTTAGTCTGTAATCTTCCCTCGTTTGTATATTTCTTTTTTCTTTCGCAATTTCTAAATACCTGAAAAACTTTAACCATTCAGAAAATGATGAGAACTTGAATGGATGTCAGACTAGTAGATAGATTGCTTTTCAGTTTTTAGGTACCATACTTTTTTTGGTACCCATTCAAACTCTGAGGGAATCTATAAAGTTAGAATTATGTCAGTGAAAAAACGAAAAAATAATTGAACAAAAATCTATTGTATAATTTTCAGGGAGGAGAAGGAACTTGTTTTCCCTCTTCTCCGACTCTTTTACAAAAAAGCTATTTACACTCAATCATTGCTTTACAAAATTTGACCATTTTCTCATAAACTATTCAAGGAAGATGTGAGATCAGTGAAGGCATCTTCTTTGCAAGGAATGGTGAGACCTCCCATTGGATGATGGAATCCAAACTCTTCTTCTGCCTGAGTTAGCAAATCTTGAAATGAAGGGTGGTTCAAATATGATATTGGAACCACAAATCGCTTCTTTAGGGTCTCTCCAACATAAACAACCAAGTGACCTTTTGGGACATCCAAGGCCGCGGAAGTAGAGTGGTTTGCAGTCAGGAAAGAACGTCGGAGAATCATCTTAGCATGAAACAAAGCAGGCAAGCGGATACCCATGGCTTCTATTCTGAAATCAGAAAGGAATTGAAGAAGATAAACTTTTAAGAATAGAGGTTGTGATTTGTGAGTATTTGGAAGGTGAGATGGTATCTTGGACTTGTATATGCATGTATATATGGAAGAAGCTAATTAACGATTAAAAAGCAATCCCTGTCAAATATTGAACCAGTGGTGAAGAGGCAGCTGAGTGGGGGCCTTGGTTAGAGACACAAGTCATGAGGGTTCACATGGGCTTGCCTCCAGATCTGTTGTCCTTGTTTTGGTTTGGTCTTCATTTGGGTCAGACCCAGAAAAAAAATGCCCAATGATTTATCTGCATTGAGAGGATAAAAATAGGCAATGCCCAATCACTTGGCAAACAGCCTAGAGTTTACAACCTTACTTGAGTTGACGGATAAACAGGCGTCCCTTGATTATGACTAGTTGCAAACACAAGACTGGAATAGCCGGGTCCCAAAGCTCTTTGGGAGAGGTCAGAGGTCATATCATTTTTTCTTTCTTTTTTATCCTTTCCCTCTCCGGCTCTCCCTATCTCTTATTGCTGTCACAATCAAATCTCTTCATCTTGGTGAAAGAAGACCAATGACTAAAAGGTTTCGGCTTCCCTCTCTAAAACCAAAATTCTATATACTAATCTCTATGTGGGCTTATTTCCGATGACTAAGAGCACCCCTCCAAATGAGAGGCGTGGGACATGGATACATGGTATGGTATTATCCGATTGTGAGATTTCATTAGCATATCAGGGTTGAATTTGTTATGGATTAAGATTTGATAGATTTGGTTTGTATTTTTAGGTCTTGGACCTCTCTTTAAGGTATTGTGTAATACTTGGGGCCCACAACTCTGCTCCCATTAAGCCTGATCCAAGATCATCTTCTTTTTTCTGGACTCTGGATTCCAATCGTCTGATTGGAACCTAAGATGATCTAGTCTAGCAGTTGCACCTTGGACCCATCCCGAGCCTGGTGGGCCTTTGGCCTTGGCTGGCCTAATGAAAGTTTTCAGCTTGCCTATATACGGCCCGTCGTTTTATCTTTGCAGATGGCCTGGTGAAGCTGAAGTCTATCATAACTCATTATGATAAACTCTAATACATAGAGTTTTTCTTTTCACCAAGAAGAAACAGGAAAGTAAGATGAGAATAAGAGACTAGAGAATTCTAGCAACTCTGAAGGAGGTGAACAATGATGCTTATATAGCTTTCTTTAAATTAATTGAGATGATGAATTAATGATATCTACCAAGTATACCAATGTCCACGTTATGTTCTTCATTTCTATTACACATGCTGCGACACTCAGGGCCTAACGTTTCCCCAGGCAACTTGATCAATGATAAGTTATACGAAAAAGAAGATGGCACCATGTTAGGTTCATACATTTATCTTTTACTGTTAAATTTCAGTCGATTTTCTTGCTTTTAATTTAGGTCCAAGCTCTGATTCATTGATCTTCAAGTTGTATTCATATCTATACCCTGTGTAAGTGTAACTGTGTTTCAGTATCCTTCACATGGGCTTGCTGGGCCTTGCTTTAGTGGATTGTAAACAGTAGAGAGAGAAGCCGTGGAAATCCTTGAAGAGACCCAATGATTTAAGGATGACCAAGGCAATGTAGGTTTCAAATTAAGAACAAAGCCATGTGATCCTGGATGATGCATGTCCCTTAGCTTTACTGACTGACCCAATTGCCAATGACCAGACACTACACAGTCAATTTGAAGGACATGATGTGGCAATATGCTCACTAGCTCCTAGCTCAGCTTGAATATTTGACACTGACTTGGGGGCAAATTCATGTGGTTTCATGTGAGGCATTCCCCTAGCTATAAGAGTATCCTTTCAGTATTGTTCTTCACCCCCTACACTTGGTATTGAAGCTTTCTTTGTTTCAGTAAGTAATACCTTTGAGATCAATATCTGGCTATTCCTTGTTTTCCAAAGAAATTACAACTCATGGCTGTTCGTGTACCTGGAATGGTTCACGCCAAGGAGATCTTCAAGCGCTCTCTTTTGAGAAGGAACCTATTACCTTCAGCAACAATGACTGATGTTCCAAAGGGCCACTTTGCAGTTTATGTTGGCGTGAATGAAAAGAAGAGATTCATTGTTCCAATATCCTACTTGAACCATCCTTCATTCCAAGATTTGCTCAATAAGGCTGAGGAAGAGTTCGGGTTCAAGCACCCAACAGGTGGTCTGACAATTCCTTGCAAAGAAGAAACCTTCATTGGTCTGGCATCTCAATTGAGTGGCTAATGCGAGGAGGAATTTAAGATCAACTATTCCAGTCAAAGGAAACATGGGTTGGCTCATTGTCTTCTTTACTGCAATCAGGATTGCAGTTTCAAATCACAGATTCTGAGCAAAAAGGAAGACATTATGTTCAAGCTGAAAGGGAAGCAGGTTGGAATTACTTTAGGACCAATCTCTCCAACAATTTTGCAAAGTATTTTTACTTGCCTCTGCAATGTAAATTTTCGTCTGTACAGGATTAGGGAGTAAAATCAATCTCCCAATGGATACATCATTCAGTAACAAAATTTTCCATTTTGCCTTTTATTGCAATCTTTTACTTTTAACTTTAGTGACAAGCTTTTAAGTCTCTTCTTAAAATTTGTAACAAAAAAAAAAAAATGATGTATTAGAAGGGATCTGTTATTAGCAAAACGAGGCCTATGTGAAATTCAATTTTATACAAGACCAACAAGGGTATTTCCAATTTTTATTTTACCACAAGTATATACTCAGATTAGGAACCTAATTTGATGATAGATATAGTCAAAACGGAAGAGAATGGCAAAACAGGATACATGTAACCAAGCCCATATAGATGGGATAAGGCTCGGATGATGATGATACTAAAACCAATTTGTTCACCAGTGCTGTATTATTTAATTGAGTTTGGTAAATTTTGCAGGGGTTTATTTGTGGACATAGGTACAAATTTTCAAACTTAAATCTTGAATGTTTTTTGTAAAAACCAAGGAAACAAGAAAAAATCCCAGGCACAACAAAAAGAAATCCTTCAGCGTTCTGAAGGTTAAAAGAGTGAGGTCATGTCTGTGATTTGGCAGGCTTGACCTTTCATTAGCCTCTAAATTGGGATGCCTTAGCCAGGTATTCAATAGTCCTTATCATGGCAGATCAGAAGATTGATATGGAAGCACATTCTCTAAATAAGCTACTTAAAAAATTTGGTCTCTTTCAGGGGTTCGGACATCATCCAAACTTCATTAAGTCCATAAAAGGATTAAGGATTCTAGTCTGCATAATTTGGGGCATGATCTTTCTGAAAGGATTAAGGATTCTAGTCCCACCGGGTGAAGCTCTAATATTCCATTTCTATGGAGGTTTCCAACCAAAAACAGAGAAAAAAAAATCTTTGAAGTTTTTTCTCCATTCTCTTGACATGATGACTCCAATATTTTTTGTAACTCCAAAAGAAATAGATATACACAGTAAAATCTGATAATAGTCAACCCCTTGATAGCTGGAATTGGGAACCCAAAGACGGATTAACCTCCCATCCTTTCATTTTTTCTTGGCTGATTTCCCAAGCAATTTTATTCCCAATCTTGTATACGGGTCTATGACCCCGTTTTTTTTTAATACCCGATACAAAATCACCCTAATTATCTATAAATAATCAGAAGAAAGAGAACAAAGACGGGATTATTGTTTGAGAATCCATGAGGATAAAAACAAACATTTCTATTAAATAATGCTCAAAGGAAGAGACATCGAATCTTTTCTTCTTCCTTAACTCTACAAAATTCTATATACATGTAATTTGCTACATCTCTGCTTTACAAAATCTAGACTTCCTTTTTGTCTTTCTTGATCCCTACCCTACGTCTCATGAACCATTCAAACTTGATGTTAGATCAATGAATGCCTCTTCTTCGCATGGGATGGTGAGACCACCCATTGGATGATCGAACCCAAACTCTTCTTCAGCCCGATTTAGCAACTTTTGGAACGAAGGGTGGTTCAAATAGGATATTGGTACAACAAACCGCTTCTTCTGGGTTGCTCCAACATAAACAGCAAGGTGGCCTTTAGGGACGTCTATGGTCGCTGAAGTCGTATGGTTTGCAGTAAGAAGAGAGTGTCGGAGAATCATCTTGGCATGAGTAATTCCTGGCAAACGGATACCCATATGGCCTCTATGAACAACTATACTTGGATTTCTGGATATCAAAGAAAGCTTTGAGAACAGAGGATAGAATTTGTGAATTTGTGGCGTGAGATGGTATATTTGGGTCTCACACATAATATATATATACAAGAGTGTAAAACTTGGGCACCACTAACTGACCTAACTGATGTGAGTCATGACGGTTTCACATAGCTTTGCTCCCAAATAGGATATCAAGCAAGATTTATTGATTGGTCATGCTAGGTTATCCTTGCAAATTGCAACAGTTCACCAGGCCCTGTTGCTTGAATAACAGACTAAGGAGGACCCATTTGAATAAGTTGGGTTACTTGATTGAAAGGTTGGGAATTGGAGAATTAATATGGCTTCAAAATATATTTATGACAATGTTGGGCACCGGACTCCTAGTCCTCGTTGGAGGGGTCCTTGGTCTTAGACAAGTCATTTATCAGGCCACTACCAACACTTGTGGTTGGTAGGGACGGTAAACTGTATGTGCCAGACTGCCAGGCCCAAGTGTTAACACATGTAGGTGAATGATCAGGTCACCACAGATGTATGGTCGGAAAGCATAAGTGATCAAAACAAAGTTCAGTAGTCTAAGCTTCTCTATAGTGTTGTCTATGAAAACCTTGGGCTTGGCCCCCAACTAATATATAATACAGGCTTTGTGTTTGGTAATGAGTTGGTCTCATTACAAGGCTTTTGGATTGCTCAAATTACTAGTACGTACTTGACTGATCATGAACAATCAACACATGTAATGTCATCGTCACCCCATCTCCCTCTACACTTAACCTTCCCCTGTAATGGCTGCAACGTACAGATGTCCCCACATTGCTAGATCCAAAGGAAGCGCTTCGATTTGAACGTCATTTTTTAGAGGACCCAACCGACCCCTAGTTGCCAATCAGTAACTCTCGCCTGATGATCTTCACAATCACCAATTGAAACTTGATAGGATTGGTGATATATAGATAATCCGTTCCATGGTCCACCCATGATGTCTACACAAGTGGGATTTGTTGGGCATGATGTGCTGGTAATTAAGTTTGAGCTACAACATATATTGTTCAGTCCCCACAAATATATATATATATATATATATTTATTTATGACAATTAATGAACTGCAGGTTAGGCAAGATCATGTGACTTCATATGTGCGTGACGGAACCTCACCCAGGTATGCACAATTTAGTTCTCTCGTTCTCGCTGGGCAAATCTCTCACTTGAGCTACATTTCTGTCCAAACGATTTTCTCTCTGTCTCCATATATATATATATATGATGCACATGCCGAAAGCCAATTATATGTTTTATATAGGACTTCAATTCGCCTAGCTATCGTGTAAACAAACACTTTTTTGTGTTCTCCCCCATATCACACCTTTTGGATCAATATCTTGTTAGTATTTCCTTCCTGATTAACCTTGAAAACACCACGAGGATCCGTTTGCCTGGTATGCTTCATGCAAAGGAGCTTCTCCGACACTCTCTGTCAGCAAGGACCCAATTGCCTGCAGCAACAATGGGTGATGCTCCTAAGGGTCATTTTGCAGTTTATGTTGGTGAGACTGAAAAGTAAAAAGAGGAGATTTGTTGTTCCATTATCCTATTTGAACTAACCTTGGTTCCAAAATTTGTTGGGTCAGGCTGAGGAAGAGTTTGAGTTTGATCATCCAATGGGTGGTCTTACGATTCCTTGCAAAGAAGACATTTTCATTCATCTGACTTCACGTTTCAGTGGCTAACCCAACAACTTCTGAAAGGCCAACCAAGGAGAAATCAATTCTTCTAGCTCAGCTGGTTGATGTTGTCTCTCGCTCAACCTCACAGGATTGCTGTTTTAGCTTGCAGCTTCGGATCTAAAAGATGGACATTGCAGTCAAAGCTAAACAGAGGATGGGCTATCATTGAAGCCAATATCTCCAACTTTTCAGCCTGTGAACTAATGCCCATTGTCTTAGTAGGTGTTTGGCATAGGTGATAGAGCATTGCACTGTTTTATGAGAAAAATGGTATTATGCATGTAGAGTTGAAATCTGAGAAAATGGTGTTTATTTTTTTGTTTGGAATTGGTAGTGCCACATAGACAGTTTTTTGAAAAAACAGCACTGATTTTGTTTGGTATCAGTGATGGCAGCAACGTTTTCAATATGGTCTATATTATCTAACGGCCAAGATGAAGCCACATGATTGCACCGCTGACAGCAATGTATCGTTTTTTCAGAAAACATTGAATTTGACATTATTCCAGCCATACTTTTCCGATTTTCAAGGTATGATCTAGAGACATTTTTTTTTTCTAAAAAAACGATATCAAACAAGAGGGTATTGTTAATTTGAAGTACCATTTTCTCTGATATAACACCCACGTAGCACCACTTTCTCAAAAAACGACATCACTATCAAACACTCAGAAAATGAAAAAAGGGATTCCCTCATTTTGAAAATTAATCATATGCTTGCGACCTGCCACACCAATGTAAACCGAGTATTGTATACAGGAACCGGGAGCAAAGACATAAATAACAATTTCCTTCTCTTTCATCTGTAATATATATATATATATATATATATATATTTAAATTAATTTCTTCTTTAATTATTGCTTCTGCAAATCTACGCTTGGGATTTGCAACTTCTTATCTTGTGGATTGTAAAGAACGTTGATGGTTAAATGAAATGATGCGTGGAATTAGGTTAAGATAGTACTCTAGATATGTAGCTCACTCGTAAATTCGGAATCAACTGGCGAAATGGGCTTAAGATTCCCTTGGCCTTGGGGGCTCTCGGTTCTTCAGCAGCACATGCTATTCTATGGTAACATCGACTACAACTTTAAGACAGAGTCATGAAGAGTTCCCAAGTTCCCTATGATGCTGCTATCTATGATCTATCCACACGAAGTTTCTATAACCAGTCGACCATAGTTTTACCACGGTATTTACAGAGCACCTTGTGGTTTGTGTATGTATTAATACATTAATGCATCAATCTTGTTCCTCTACTTTCAAAATTTCAAATGATGATTACCTAAATTTTATTCTACCTTAGTTTGACAACCAAATATGCCCTTAGTCCCTTAATATCACAATGCATGAGGGCTTGGAATTAAGCCGTTAGAAGGTGCAAGTTAGAATCAGAATGGAATTTTCCTATTGAATGACGTTCATAGAAGGAGAGATTTCTGTTCTACTTCCTCTACTCCAAAAGAATCTATGTACGTGTAATTGGTGGCTATATCTGAACTTAGGTTCATCTATTTTCTTGGCCAGTCATTGAAGCTGCTTTCCATGAAATAAGATGTGAGATCAACAAAGACATTTCTTTTCAGGGGATATTAGGGTGAGTCACATATTGGATGATCGAAATCCAAACTCTTCTTTAGCCCAAATTAACAAGCTAGTTTTGGAATGCAGGATGTTTTTAAAGTGGGATATTGGGACCACAAACATAACCGCTTCATCTGGGCCTCTCCAACATAAACGTACGGCCAAGGGGCTTTAGGTTTAGGGACATACAGATGATAACAAAAATTGATAGTATGTTCAGACCATTACTATGTCCTAATTGTATTCTGCTGAGAAATAACTTGGAGTAATTGCTCATACTCATTTCTGTAGACATAGAAGGTGTTTGATCAACTTGCTAAATTTCATCTCTCATATCACCACCACTAGCCACGGCACCTAATTGAAGGACTACAAATAACGAGTGGTAACCTGTCCCCATACTCATACCCCCTCCCCCCAAACCCCAACCAACCCTGATGATAAGGGATTTGATCCCAATTCCCAAGTCACCGCTACAACCAGCAAAAGCTAAGCCACCATAAGAAGGTAATAATGAGATACTGTTTTGCTCCATCTACAGGGCTATGCTTGGAACTAATGGGTCTTGACCGATCTCACTGGGGCTTGGGCCATCTTGGGCATAGCTTATCTTAAATTCTCAATACAGGGTTGACCGAGAGTTTTGGACTACCTGGTCTTCAACCTTGATAAGTGAAGTCCTTTATTTCCATCTTTAATATTTGGGCTTATAGAGTCGATGGGCCGATCATGGGCCACTTGACCTACTTGAACCATGAACATAAAATTGAGTAAGAGAAAGGTAAAAAAAAAACGAAAGAGGAAAGAAAGGACGGACTGACAGTGAAGTAGGTTTTTCTTCTCAAGCAAAGGATTCAATGTCTGAAGAAGAAGGTCGTGCTCTTTTGGTATCTTTGTGTTCATCATGGTCGCTATTTGAAATTTCCAATGGCTGTATTTAGATGTTTCTACTTTTGCCGCGAAAATGGCAGAGGCATGGTATAGAAATTGACATCAAACGGCCATTGGATGTAGAGATCAACTTGAGATGCTGGAAGCCGAAATGTGACGCCACTATTGCATGGAAATCATCTGAATTATTCATTCTCATTCTCGACCTGAACTTGTTAATAGATACTATATAAATTTAATTATTTTAAAAACCTTTAGACTGAATAATGAATAATATATGAAAAAATATATTACATAATCCAAAATTAGGCTGGGTTTGGCTATAGACTTTGGGCTTATGGCACCCTTGTTTAATTCCAAGACTTGGCTTTGGTTTGGCTTGCCTATCTCTTTATTAATAAGTGAAGTTCCACATTGTTTCTTATTTTTTTATTTTTTGTAATTAAAGTTTCACATTGCTTAGAGAAAAAAAATAAAAAGCCTTGCTTTAATTTATATAAGGCTTTGCTTAAGAGGACAACTACCATATTTAATATAATATATTATTATATAAAATATTTAATATATATATATGGACTTGAAGTATTGGACCCAAGCTCAGCTTGGAATTTTGTACGCTTCAGAAAAAACCTGGGCTCGTGCTTAGAAATTTCTCGGCTGGACCACGTCTGGCCAAGAATTATCACCTCTAAGATGGAGTAGTGCCATTCCTTACCCCTTCCTTTAATTATGAATTCACAATGGAACTGTTATCTATCATCCTATCTTGATG